ATTCATTATAGAGAAAATTCGTTATAAAAAGAGTCATTTTATATATAAATTTTTCTGACTTTAATTCGTTAAACGTAATACGAATTTTTAATTACTAAATTCGGTATAGTAAGGGTTTTTTTATATTTAAAAATCTGTCTGATACTGAAAATCTGTTGTATTGTAAAATTCGTTATATCAAAATTTGCTGTAGAAAGAGTTGACTGTAATATTATTATTAAAAAAAATTATGATAAATTTAATTTTTGATAAATTTTTTATAATTATCTATTTTTTTTATAATATCAAATTTATAATATAATATAGAATATGTATAAAATAAAACTGCTTTAATTGTTTCTATATTTTATTTTTATTGTGTATTCGTGTATTCAATATACAATACATTTATATTGACTAATAAACATCTCTATCTCACATATAAGATTATACATTTTCTATATTTTTGTCTATCCTAATAGTCCTAACTTTCCTACTTGTAAAAAACTTGGATATGCTTACATTTAAAAAATTAGCCCTTTAATTCAACCTTACATGATAATCAGCTAATAAAAATAAAAGATACCTAAAAATTTGTCCAAATGTCTTGGATATAAGGTTGCTTATCTAAACTCATTTTGGATTTGGCAAAACGGTAAAACCTTTAGTTTCGCTAAATTTTTATTAAGTGTTTGATATAGTTTCGCCATTTTTATAAGCTTTGATATAGTTTTACCTTTTTCCAAATTTCGCAGATTTTTTAATAAGGTTTTAATATAATTTAACCAAGTTTTACTTTTACCATTTAGACGTCTGTCTAAACTCATAATTTCGTCCAGCAATCTTACTTGAACATAAAATATTATATTTATGTTTATGTGACAGTTCAGAAACAGACAGTCTATATTTGTATTTGTATCCTATGATAACGCTATATATAGTATGTCAATTATGAAATCTATATCATAGATCAAGAGTTAAACTTATTTTACATTAAGGTAAATAGATAAACTGTACTATACAATTAGGTGAACTGTACTATATGAAAATATTTGTAGTCAATAATATTATATAGTATACTTTTTTGATTTTGTATAATTATTGTATAATAAAATATGATTAGTTGTAATCATTTTTGTATAGTACAGTTCATCTGATTATATAATATAGTTTGTATATATATTTCTCACACTATTCTTCTTTTTCTATTATATTAAATAATTATAAGTCACAAATTAACCAATTTTGTATAATATTATTATGACGTTCCTGTTCAATTTGAGAATATAAGTCATTTTAATATTTATGTAAAGTTTTTTGCTTTTTGATACATTAATTAAATATGTATTTAAATGATGTCTTAAAGTAGAAAATCTAGTTTCATTCTTGTTTGCATTTATTGCAAATCTGTTTCATTTTTTCCTGGTAAATTATCATTAAACAATTTCCATACAGCATTAGAATAAGCTTTTTTTTTAAAATTAGAATGTAATGTTGATCTATATTACATAATTTTGTATAATAAGCAATCATGTTGATGTTATTTCTAATAATATTTTTATTAAATTTTATCATATGCATTTTTTTCATGATATATAATAAAATTGAATATAAACTATAAATATCTTTAATAAATAATTGTTAATAAACTTTTATTACTAATGCTTTAAATATTTTAATGTTTTTATTATATCCGAATCTGATTTTTTAGCAAATTTTTCACATTTGGATGATTATCATAAAAAATGTCAATAAATTTTATGTTTATAATTGCTTATTACTTTATTTCTTTTAATATTTATTGTTTTTTTTTACATTTAATATTTTTTGTATTGTGTTTTATATACAGTAGTAAGAGCATAAACAGATGTAATAACAAATCTTATTTAACTAAATTCAATGGTATTAAAAATGTTATGAAAACCCCTTCCCCATATTTGACATTTGTAGATAAAAATTGTGACTAAAGGAGAAAGAAACAACCGAATACTTAACTTCTAATCAATTATCCTTATTACATATAAACATCATTATGGCAATATTTGTTACTCCGATTTGGTATAGCTATCAGTGACAAACAGGTTAGAAATCCTTATGATCGAATAACGTTAATGATTCATAATAAAATTCATTTTAACTAAACAAGATCGTATCCACAACCCCAATCACCGATCTGCCTATATATACATTACTCTAAACTCAAATTTATTTGATAACTAATTTAATCATAGGATGCTAATATACACGTGATTTTTATATATCGCGTCGTAATTAAAAAATCTAATATGTATAATCTACATGATTCACTTACTTAAATTCTTTCGCTAAGTAACTTATTCAACCTATCAAAGTGTATACTCGATAACTTCACAAAATCCATATGTTTATAAAATGCTTTTTCTAAATCAAACAAAGCATCCTTCAAAACTATATAGGATAAGAATTTTTTTTTTTATAAATAAAAATATTTCATACGATTATACGATTATATTTCACACGAGATAAATATTAAAAACTTTACCGTTTATGACAATTAACGGATCAGACAAAACACTAGAGTATGTAAATGCAAATGGATCTCCAATATCCCACTCGTCCAACGGTGGTTCATTGGAATATCGTTCAAGAGAAATTAAACAATCTAACATTGCCTCAAAGACACTGGCAGTATCATTCTGCACAATTCCATGTTTATCCTCATTCAAAGATTTAACCGTTAAAGCCGTTAATGCTTATAGTCGCATATAATATAAGTTAGTGAACGTTTAATAAAATCGAAAGATTAATTGGTAAAAGGACATACCTTGTATAGCACATATTGTGATATTTAAGTCTTTAAAAACAATTTTCGTTCTTCTTTCAATTGATCTCCTGAGAAAAGGAACAATGAAAAGATAGTATATTTTCCTTGTAAAATAAGGAAAATTACCTTTCACTGGATGGAACCACTCTAATAATTTCATTTCCCAATAATCACGATCTTTAGTCATTGTCTCGGCTGTCATCTTGACTTCAAGACTTTTATGACCAACTATTTTTCGTTCCTTTTCTTTTAATGCATCTTTTTCCATGTTTCTGAACATTTCATACTTTTTTCTCATCAACGATTTCCTTGCTTGTTGTTCCTTGATTTCATCTTGTGCAGAATTTGCAAGCCCAAAGATCAAATCCATACATGAGCGCGAAATTTCCGTCCACGCGTCGGTAGGATTATTATGTTTAACACAATTAAATGCTTGTTTACGGTTGAAATCTGTATATATTGCACTACGTCTATATTGATCGAACTTTGCAATATGCCATAATTCCAAAAATGCCAATTGCTAGTAATAAGAAGTTGGAAGGCATTGAAATTTTGCATTCGTTTATTTTTTAAAAAAGCGGGATCTATTATTTATAAAAAAAATTAAAAATTAAAAACCTGATAGTAAGGTTGTTGGTATGCATGCAATCCATCTATAAGAATTGCATGAGGGTCCATATATACACCGATCGTAAAATGTATCTAAAAGAATGAATACAATCATATGATTATAATTCTGTTTGTATGCGTCAAACCCAACCAACTATTCGTACTGACCCGTGTAAAAAAATGCTCAATCAAAAAGTGTATTATAGACCAACACATAACAATAAAAATTGCACTAAAAACCGTTCTATTAAATAGTTGCACATCAAACCAAGAAGCGCGCATCCAATGATAAATTGCTGTATTACTTTTGATTAAATTTTGAATAAGTTAAATAAATGCAGATGATACAAGTAAAAAGTGACATCTTTGAAAGAAAATCAACAGTAATTATCATACAAATACCAACTTACTGTAAAAAGAGAAGATTAGGTAACCATTCATAGATTGTATTCCAGATAAAAAGTTTAATGAACCAAGATGTTATCGAAAAAGACAACGCCGTCATTAGAGTACTCCATATAAAATTTTCATATTTACGGCTCCAAAATATTAAAAGTTCTTTCGCTAAAGAAAAAGGGTATCTTGGCTATAAAGTTTTTTAAAAAAAATTTTAATTTATACTTCATAAATTAATATCAATTTTTATTAGTAACTTTGCTTACCTCAATTATATTAAATGATAACATGTATCTTTTACGTAACAAGAAATCAAATCCATACCATATCCCGAGAATTGTAGTGTGAATTAGTGCAATCAAGTAATGTTCATTAATCATAGGGGGAAGACTTTTACAATTGTCTTTACGATGACTCGGACACCAAAAACTATACAAACCCAAATTAAAAATTTACTTTAAATATTTGTAATTGGAAAAAATTGATTATATTATCTTACTCTTCGGTTCCAGGATATAAAAACATTGTTCTTGTTCGTTTATAACTTGCTCCAATGAGATCAAAATAAGTACATCCTATGATGATCGAGGATATCATGTATATCAAAGGGATGATATAAGTACGCTTCTTATACATTAAGACATGTAATTCATCTAACAAACATTTTGATGTATTTCGACGTACTACAAGCACATATCAATCATTAGTATTACAATTTGCGATAAACAAATAGGTAAAACAATTAAATACCTGACTCTTGTATTAGAGCTTTGCGAAGAGCTATTATTGGCAAAAGACCAATAATGTAAACTTTTAAAAAAGCAATGAAAGTGTCCAAAACAAAGTTCACGGACAATTCAGCATATCCAATACATGGGGCTTCTAAATATGATGGTTTTCAGAAGAGAAATAACGCGTTAACTAATTTTTTAAAAACTTTTATTAAAGTTTCTTTCAATTTTACTAACCTATATCCTGAAACATGTATATTATAAAGCGAAAAAAACTGATAATCGCGTAAACACAGCCAGCCGACACCGCTAAAAATATGTTTCGTGTTTTCCCCAATTCAGTAGAGCCACATGCTAACCCATATGTTGACAACTTTTTCTCTTCACCGGTATTCATCTTGCAAGTATAAATTGTTTCAAGTTTTCTGTAGCTGTCTATAGACGCGACCTTTTCCAAATGAAGATTTTGATTTTCGAATAAATGATTAATAAAAATTTTAAATAGTAGTAAAAAAATGCAGGACGTTGAATTAGCAATTCAAACGTTATTTTAGATTAACCAATCAGAATGTTAACTAAAATTTATAAAGGGGACAAAAAAATTTCTTTCTAGAACGTTGGATTTTTTGATGAAAATCATATAATTCTTCCAAGTTTTTTACCTTTTACCATTTTCTACATTGAATGTGAATATGATTTAGAAGAACCTTGATAATGTCGATTTATTCTTTATTGCAATGAGTGTATAAAGTAATTCAGATTGGAAATTTTAATTTTAAAAATCGCCTTTTTAAAAAGATCTCGATAAAAAATCTTTTAAATATGGTTCAAATACTATTATTAAAAGTCATTCAGATCTGGCAACATTTACCAATCACGTACCTATAGTAACTTTGGCACGAAAATATTCTACTAAAGTCTACATTTTATTTCAAAGTTATTTTTTCTCACATTCAAGGAAATTTGACTATGGTTTCTCTAAAGATTCTGAAAATCTTCATGAACCTAAAAGCCATAGAAATATTCAATTATTATTGAAGGACAACCTTTTGCTAAATATTTTAACAAATATTGAAAAAAAAGATTAAAGGTAATAAATATATCTTTTGAATATTAAACATATTGTATCTGAAGATAATCGAGTATATAATTGGCAGAAAGAATTAGAAGTAAAGATTTTAGTTTTGAAACGACGACAAATGATTTTTGATATGAAATTATACAATTGGTTAACAACCCTCTTAAGTTGCAGACTTCAATATTATAATTTCTTATATTCAACTACCTTAGAAGGAAGTTACAACTCGCTAGTTACCGATTCAACTTTATTGGGGACATTGCTTAAAAAATTGGTAATAATTAGCAGACTTGTTAAATCAAATGTGCTTCGTTAATTAAAAATAAACATATATTGACATTGTACATTGATTTAGTGTATATATATTAATCGGTTATATACAAGTATAATCAAACAAAAAAAAAAAAAAAATAGAATGCTAACAAATAAATATAAAATTAATAAAGATCATTCAGAAAAATCATTTTCCTCTGATACCCATGCATATTCATTTTTATCATTATTTCCATCGTCATAAATGTGGTTTAACCATTGTTCAACACCAATAGCTTGATAATGCGATCGAGGAGAAGAGAAAAGATGATATACATGATGTCCTCCCTAAATAAACATTGAAATATATTTAGCATTGGAAAATTTGATGGTAAAGAAAGAAAGAAACAATAAGTCAATGAATTTACCGGAATCGGAATGAATTGAATTTCTGCTCTAGTTTCTATATTATTAATTGAAGAGAAAAATTAGATAAAGAAACTATTCAGATGATTATCAAACAATAATAATTATTATTAATAATTACTTTTCTTAAATTCATTGACGAAATTACTGGATGATTTGAAAGGTACTAAAGTGTCACGGTCACCACTAATTTATTTTCAAAACAAACGGTTAATATCACAAGAATGAATGAAACCTTAAAAAAAAAAATTTCAAGAAGCTTACTGAAACACCAAAAATGGTACTGAATCATTTCTGATAAGATATAGTGGCGAATGTTCTTTACAAAACGCAATATCTTTGTCTGCTCGTCCAGCAATTTTTTTTGAAAAATATTCCGAGATATCGTAATCCCATAATTTCTGTTCGTCTACGAGGTCTGTAATAGCATTAATCAAGACGCAGGCTTTAACAGATGTGTCAACGTCTTCGAAACCTGTTTGATATTCCCGTTTATTTGGCGTAAGTGCGAGCACCGCGGCAATCTGACCTCCCGCATCATCACCTTAATCAAATAATCAAATCAATATTAAACAATGCCATAAAACATATATTAAAGAAATTATAATAATGTTGAAGTTTACCAGCCACAGCTATAAACTTTGGATCTCCACCAAAGTGCTCAATGTTTAACTTAACCCACCGCAGAGCTCGTTTGGCATCGATCAATTGAGCCGGGTACAAAGTTGTCGGTGCGAGTCTGTAATTTACGGATACGACCACCTAAATGAAAAAAAAGTAAATAAACATATTTAAAAGTTTTAAAAGTTTTAAACAAAAGATGCACAATTTATATTTACCCAACCAACTTCAGCCAAATGGCGTATCAATGGATATGGTGATGCTTTATCTCCTCTTATCCATTCACCCCCGTGAATAAACATCTAATGAACCAAATTTTGGATAAAATAATTAATTGTTACATTCAAACAAAATATTTTGCAATAATATTAATTAATAGAATTACTCACAAAAACAGGTTTTGGAGTAGATTTGGATATATCCTTGCGAGCATAAATATCCAATGATAAATAAGTTACTTGTTCAAATCCATCTTTTTTCGCGTCGGATGCCTCTGAATGATTTACATAGCTAACTGAAAAAAAAAATTATATAGCAATAGAAATATTACAACCGAGTATTTTAATAAATAAAACCACTGATATTATTAATTAAGGACTTACTATCGCCATATTGGAAAACATTCTGAGGAACAAAATGTGGATTAACCATTCTTTGCCAAAAAGTTTCACTAAAGTTGTGATTAAATGGTTATCAATTATTAGCAAATACATATAAAGTTTCCTGATTTATGAAAAATTAAGAGATAGATGCCTTGTAAATGTTGGTAATTCTTTTTGATCTGAATATGACTGAATAGCTTGTTCAATGGCGCGTCTTGCTTCATATGCATCGATAAAAATAACAACAAGTCTTTATATATATATATAAAAAAGGTGTATAAGATATCAATTAAATTAGATATGAATCCCATAAGATTAATTTGATTTAAAAACCTTGAACACACCCAATCATATTTAGGAGATCAACTATGTAAAACAGTTGTGGAATAATTCCTCCTGTTTATAAGGAAATGAAAGGTAATTTACAATTATGAAAGAAAGGAAGTCGAGGTAACATAGATAATTTATAAACTTACTGAATACTCCAAGCATTGAAGCGATAATTATCAGGACAATTTTGAGAACTATAACAGGCAAAGGCCATTCAGAGATTAAAGAGAAGCCAAAAACCGTAAGGTACTGTAGCTGAGGTACCCAAGGTATTCTTCCTTCAACACTTGCATAAGTTAGACCGGCAAAGAGGAATACGAACGTGTAGTAAATGATTGCAAAAACCATGGTCGTTGCTTTGTAAATGTTGGGAATAAATAACTGCGATAAATAATTAAGAATTGAAAGAAAAAATGTGATGCTGCGGACCTTAATTAAATCTCATTCTAACTTCTATGTGATTGGTTGAAACGAAAGTTACGTTGAAAGATCATCTATGGAGGCTTTTTTTGAGATGTCATTCACGTGTCCAACCAACTAATAGGATCTGTAATCACTTTGCCAAATATATAAAAACCAATTCATTTGGTTCCGATGTGTCAGTGATGGCACATACGACAGTTTCTTCGATCTATTCTGCAGCTGAAGACGTTCCTCTTATTTTAGCACCACAATTTTCCTCGTTATATCCTGTAAGGATCAGACAATTCAACATTTAGTTTACTGGTTAAACTAACGATTTTTGACGATTTTTTTTATTAGATAACGTTACCTCCTGATTTTAATCTTGACCTTCCTCAAGTGGTGAGTATTCAAATCAGGTGAAATTATAAGTATTTTCAAAAATTGACTTACGATCATCATTTCTGGCTTGAGAATCATGTTATAAATCAATTTTATTTTCATTTTTTCATTTTTTACAGCAAAATTATGACTTCAAGTTGGAACGACATATTATCGCAGATTCCGAACAACGAAGGCACGATAATGCTACAATAACACAACTTCGTGCTCAACAATTACTGGCACTTCAAGAGGAACGAATTCGTAAACAAAAAGCAGAGGCTAGAAAAATAGCTCCTGGATTCTTGGATACGGATTTGAGAATTTTAACACCCGTTCCAATTAATAATACTCAAAGAAGAGCTAGTCAACAGGTCGAGAGCGGAGATAATACATTCGCTATTAATAGTGAAAATGGTTTAGACGGGCAGAAAATACATGTACGATCCGCTTCGGATGATATTCCATTGTACCTTTTAGAGAAGATGAGATCAAAGGAAGAGGGAAACGAAGTAAAATCACGTCTATTACAAGTCTTATAATCAAATAATATTTTACCGACTAAAACTAATTCGATCGTTTTGATAGGCCAAACCAGCGAAATCCTTGGTTTACTTGGAATTTGAGGAAATTCTTTCTTCAAACCTTTCAAACTCATCAAACTCGATTCAAGATGACATATCAATTTTAAGAGAAGTAATCGGGTCGCCGGTACCAACCAAACCATCCAATGAATACAATTCCATTACGGATAGAGGTTTAAACGGATCTCCCAACTTTTTTGTGGCTCCCGCTAATCAAGATAAGATCGTCAATAACCCAAATCCTCCGAGGTCATTTCACCCATCACCACTTCTTCAACCTTCTGTAGCACCTTTGCCATCTCAATTATCCAATGAGGTTTTTACATTGGGATCTTCAGCAACTCATAGCAATCCTGACCTTCTATCAAATAAACTTAGCAATTTACAAATTTCTCAAAATGCTTATTCGACTTCACCTATAAATATTCATAATAATACGTCCTCATCCATTCAAGGGCACAGATCTTATTCAGCACCATCATCTAGTATTGAACGTCGTTCTCCACGCCAACCATATTCCATCCCTCCTGTTCCCCCAAAAGAAATATTACCGACAACTTCCCCCTCTCCCAAGAATGAGGATAGTGAGAAGGATATTAATCCTGATTTAATAGAGCAATTTATTAACATGGGATTCACGAAAGAACAAGCTGTTGACGCTTTGGAGAAATATGATTATGATCCTCATAAGGCGACTAATTATTTGTTAGATTTACAATAATTTCATCTTTAGACAAACATTTCAAAGATATAAATTAAAGAATACATAATCTAATTACACAATAAAAATAAACAATAATTTCATCATAAAGAAATCATTATCATTTATTTATTAATTAATGTTATTAATGTAACATCTCAAAAAAATGAAACTTTTTTTTAATACAAAGAATGATGGTACGATGAAATTTATTGGTTATTGAATCATCGCACATGATCGATCGACAACCAGCAAAACCCAAACTGGATCGATCAATTTGATTTAGTTAATAAAAATATATTTTTCCAAGTCGCGTGAGGCGTGAGAGTTTTGCTCTCACGAAACATTTATCTTTTTGAACCTTTCGAGCTCAAATTAAATTTTTTATATTTTCTATCATTGTTGTCGCGTTTTTATATTAAAAAATTATGGTGAATCAAGCAAGGCAAGACGTTCTTCATAGTTGTAAATGGGGTAGCTGCAAACAAAAGTTCAATACTAATATATCGTTATGGAAACATGTTGAACAACACGTTGATAATGCAATTCCTCGTTTAACACATATGGTGAATGATGACGACGGTATAAATTGTTCTTGCGAATTTAAAGAATTTTAATATTCCTTTGGTTTTTTTTTTTATAGTTTTACTAATTGATAATCATTTATAGATGTTCCCGTCACAGCGCAACATAATAATAATAATAATAATACGGGCGTGACATCAAATAATTCTGCTACGACTTCACGAGTAAATCGTCCTCATATCATTCAACCCGCTCATATAAATACAAGTAGAATCAATCCTACCATTAATGTTAATTTAATGAGACCAGTTTTAAACTCACAAAGTACACAGCAAACGCGACCACCTCAATTACAACAAATTTCTCAAATGTTAACACAAGTAAGTCCAACAATAACCTATAATACTCTCGGTGTACCACAATTAGTGAACACATCACAAGGGATTCAACCCTCTGCTGGTCAAATTCAAATACAGACAGCATACCAGCAGCATCTTTTATCAACATCACAAAAACCTCAACACCAACAACACCCTCATCCAAATATTTTTACATCGTTATTGGCAATGCAATATTCTCAACAACAACAAGGGATATCACGCTCGAATTATTTACCTTTAACACCTCAATTTCAACAAATGGTTGGAGGTCGACCTGCTTTTCTGATACAACCACAACAGCGACAAAGAATTCAATCGGCCGGTCAATCGTCTGGCTTGCAACAGATGATCCCTTTAGGGAGCATGCCTAATCCTATAACTATTGATGATAGTAATTTCGTTTTGGGTGTTGATCCGCCTATTGTTAATCATCAAAGATTAGGTCGTCCTCCAGCTTCTGCAATTAATAATTCCGTTAGAGCAACTCAAATGCAAAAGAAAGTTGCTAATATAAATATGAATTCATTTTTAAGTCAAAATACAAAGAAATAAAAGTATGCCGAGTTTGACACATAACGAAAAATCGAGAATGTAAATTATCGATGTTTGTCTTTTTAGGATCTACTTCCAAAAGAATCTTTTAATTCGGTCTGATCGTTTTTTGAATTTTTTATTTTATTGTATTTTTTTCAAATGGGTCTTCTAACGAAAATACTTTTATTTTATTTGTAGCGATACATATTTAGAACGATTTCTTTGGGGATTTGTTGGGAAATATTGCAATACATCAATCAAATACATTTCAATAAAAGAACATTTCCATGTTAAATCATAGAAAATTAAAATTAGAAACTATTAGAATTTTTATTATTATTGGAGATTCTTATAATGAGCTTTATTATTATTATTTTTATTATTATTACGATGAGTTAGTAAATTTCGAGCAAATTCGGCATTTCATTAAAATTTCACTATATTGCAGAACAAATTATGAGAAATAAAAATGCAATGAAAGAAATTATGCAAAACAATTTTCAATACAACATATGATTGTTTAAGCTAAAGGACGACCTTTAAGATGAAAACAATAAAAACAAAAAGACCTTACCCTCCAAAAAAATCAAATTCAGATAAAATGCAAAGTATAATTTGAATTTAGAAATAAATATAAGAAACCATGTAATATCTCTGTTTAGATATCCTTTTCGGATTTTTTTGAAATAGATAATCTTTTGGGCTTCTTTGTTTGGCGTTGATCCGCAGCATCATTCTTGAATTTACCACTTCGTGAAGAACCTGTTACAATAGTTCTATCGATTTCACTTCTTCTGTCACTTGTGAAGTAGGCAGCTTCATTGCCTATATATAAATAATAATAATAATAATATAAAAAAAAATAAAAGCACCCATCACGAGAAACAAATTGAGTATACATATAAGAGTTGACATGATCCCACCATCAAAATTCTTATCATTTAACATGATCAAGAAAAAAAAATTATGAAAAATTGTATATTTTAAAGACGCCGTAGTTTCATACCGTCTATGGCCATACTCTTTCTTCGTGTAGCTGGTTCATGCGTTCCTCCTGTACCTTCGCTTCGTTTAAATTCCGCAATTAGTGTTTCGACGTGATCTTTCATTTCTAACGCCATTTGGTGGATATCTGTTTCTTCTCTGTTAAATACCGAGGCATTCATAAACATTAACATTAGATCACGATGAAATAAATTGGTGTCATAGATAGTCTAAAAGAGTGTTTTTTTTTTAAAAAAAAACAAATTTAAAGCTCGTGGTTAATTAAATATTTATTTTGTAAAAAATTTTTGAATTTAAATAAATTCAATACCCCTTCACGAAGCCGTTTTTTCAACGTTCTTAAATCCATTGATTGTTTTACTATGTCGTAATAACCGGGTGCATCTTGATCCCTGATTGGGTTTTGAAAAACGCTAGCAAACCGATGATTACTAATTTCGAGTAGTATCATAGAAACTAATTTCTGCCATGTCTTAAGTTTTTTATCATCTACACGAATAAAATTTATAAAAAAATTTGAAAAAAAACCAATTACATACAATAAGTATAATAATAAATTACTCATCTTACCTGGAGTTTCTCCGCTTGGTGTTGGTGCCGTGTCAAGAGGAGGCGGCGTTGAAGGGATAACTAAAAAATTCGGTGTTGTTATAAAGAAATTGATTATAACTTTAAAGTCATAGTGAATGCACTAATTAATTGCTTACGATCTCCAGAAGGTGAAGGTGCTGCATTCGAAGAAGTTGACGATACGACGGCAACTGGTGTAGTGGACGTTAAACCAGCACCAGAAGTTGAAGGTTCCTTTAATTCTATCAAAGGTGTAGGGGCCTTTCCTATCGAAATATATTTTTCGATATCCTCATTTTCTTCGGGAAGAGTCGATAAATCAATCATACGCACATCTTCACCATCATCCTCTTGGATCTCTACTGAAATATTTTCTATTTTATCCGACTTGGTTTCTTGTTCAGTGAATAATGATTCTATTATATAAGGTGAAACTTCTTCCTTTGTTGAACCCACTGATTGTTTTATTTTAGTCTCAGAAATTTCTTGTTCCTTGCCTTTCGCTCCAACAATCTCTTTACCTTCAACTTTTTCATTAGCAGTAATTTTATGAGGTAGAACTTTCGATTCATGCTGTTCTTTAAATATTATATTTTCTTGATTACTAGTTATTTCTACTTCTTCAATTGAGATTGGTGAAGTTACACGACTCTCAGAAAGGTGAACTTTTGAAGGACTTTCGATACCATCGTCTGTTGAGATAATTTCTACTTGAGGTTCATCAATATCCATTGCAATATCACAACCGACAGTTCGTGGAGTATCTGTTATATTGACAGATTCTTCTGTATTAGGAGAAACAGTCGCTTTGTTAACTTTAGAACTATCTGTTTCTAATATTGATTCTTGTGTAGGAAAATTTGAAAATAAATTCATAGACTTTTCTTTAAGTTTCTCATCATCAATATCCATCATATCAACTACTTCCTCCATAAGCTGATCAACATTGCCTCTTCGTAATTTATCATCTTCAGTACTTGCATTAATTGTTAATACTTGTTGAACATTTTGACTCTTTGAGGGAACGATAATCAAGTTATCCTTTAGATTAGGAAGTGGAGTTGATGGTGTTCGTGGTTGTATCATATCCTCATCAACTTCGATAGGTCTTGATGATAACTTCAAAGAAGAGGATTCGTCATATTTCATATCTTCTGATGTTGGAGCAACTTCGGTTGATGGTTTAGTTTTGACTCTTGCTACTTGTGGCTCTACATTTTTATTAATTATAGTTTCTTTTTCTAATATTGTGGCGGTTGTATCATTCTTGTCAATGTTCACTGCAGGTTGAAGAATCTTCTCAGCTACTAAAGATTCGGCCTTATTTGCATCAGAAACTAAAACATCAGTTGACCCTTTAGGTACTTCTACCGTTAATATTTTAGAGACATTGTCACCTGCTACTTTCTTTTCTTGATCTTTCTTTTTTTGTTCTTCTTTTATCGCCTCAGCAAATTTATTATCCCATTGTCCCGACTTAATTTCATCAATCTCGGTTACAAGTTTCCTTTTTTTTGTTCAATATAAATGAAATGAATCATTTTTTTTTACATTAAAAATCAATATAAAATAACATTATCAGAATTTACCGAAATATTTGTTCGTCTGACGTTATTAATGATTTTAGTTCAGCAATACGTTCATGATAAAGTTGTCGAGCCAATTTCGCGGTCCAAGGCATACGTTGCTTGTCTTTAATTATTATTATATTTTTTCGAGTAAAAATGATAAAGAATGAATCTTTTTTTTAGATAAATTTGTTTAAAAGCAAAAAACAAAAACAAAAACAAAAACTTCTATAATGAAAAATTAAAAAATTAACTTTCTAAATACCATTTACATATTCTCCAGATCTCTTTTTATGCTCACTAGAATGACCGGTATTTTTTTGATTATTTTTATTCAGAATAAAAATTAATTATAAGATATTTGTTTTTTTTTCCCAAACCACTTTTTAATAATTTTTTTTTTTTTTTAAAAAAAAAAATTATTATTAAAATATTTTTCAAAAGTCGCGTTGGAGCTAAATTTCACCATTTTTATTATACAAGTCTAAAATCTATTCTTTAAAAAATATTTCAATGTCAAACCAAAAAAAAAAACATACTCTTCAATTTCTGCTTCATTCTTTAACGGATCTACTAAAGTATTATACTTAGTACTGCAGTTCTAATATAATGCAAACAAAATTTAAAATTTAAAATTATACAAATTCGATTTAAACTATAATTCAGAAAATAAAAAAAAAGAGAAAGAAAAATGAGGGGAAAAAAAGAGAGACCATTTGAGAATTTTTAAATTAACCTTTTGAGTGAAAAATTCTGAAGGGTGAGAAACCATTGGATGACTTTTCATCGTACGCGAAATGGCGAGCCAGTTATCTCCATGTTTATAAACAGCCTGTATAAGTAAAAGTTTTTCAAAGGTTGTCCAGGCATTCTCATCGGTTTGTGGGGTAGCCATGATCTAGTTTATTTTATTTTTTATTTGTTGATATTGATTTTTGTATTATTCCGAGAGTGGCTTGGTAAATTGTTGTCACGAGATATAATTGGTCAGGTGACGATTCGAATTTTGTTTACTTTCGAGTTTTGTTTTCTTATATTAAGCAGATAGGTTTTTTTTTTTTTTTTGATGGAATTCGAATCGCACGATTTCAAAGAGAAACGGCGTCGTGTTTCTTATAACACTATAGACGAGCATAGTAAATTGGACCCACAAGATAAGAGTTACTGGTCTCCTTCACCACCTTCTTCCACCGATGAAAGTATGGGTTTTAATAATGATTCAACTGATTCTGAAACAGATTCTGACAGTGAAAGTGACATGAAATATCAAGCAAATCATAATGAGAATCACCACTCAGAGAATGAAATAGAATCGTGTAGTTCAAGCACGATAACAGATGATTCATATAGTACAGTGACCGGCGAAAATAATTCACGCGTGTTTGAAGATTGGCAAGCTTGGGTGCCAGAACTGTCATCAAGTGAGGATGACAATCCTACGTCTAATACGTTAAAAAGACAAAGGGTTGGAAATAATTTAAACACTTGTTTTATTTGCGGTGGTCCCGATTTATATTATAATTTTATCTGTATATGTGTTGGTTGTAATGTTGGTTATCATCAAACGTGTCATGAACCACAGATTAGTGACAGTATCGCAAATAAACGATCTGGTAATAGTGAAAAGTGGTTTTGCGCGAATTGTCAGAAAAAAGCCAATAAAGAACCATTGATTTTACATGTGAATGGTTCGATCAAGAATGTAAAGGTTGACACCAGATCAACTCTCAATGACAAAGTCATAGATAATAATAATAATACTTTAGGATCCGTTAACCAACAGGCTTTGGATCGCGGTGAAGGAAAAAAGAAGAATATTGATGATTCAAGGAAACAAGATTGTTATCAAGAAAAATCTAACAAATGTTTGTTGACCATTAAAAAAGATCACAGAGGATCATCGGATAGGAATCATTTTTCATCGCGATCTCAAGCAACTTCTGATCAAATTCATAAATCTAAAATCTCTCATAAAAAACGTAGAGGTTTATTACCAGTTATAATTCAACCATTTGAAAGGAGACATTCTACAGCATCCGAACTTCGAAGATTATTTGATAATTGTCCGTTATCAATAGTGAACTTTGATGATATTTTTATGCCTGACGAATGGGGTAATTTTGTAGAAATTCCATCAACTAGCGTAGAATATATCATGCCTAGCGCAAGCTCAATTTCACCCGGTACGAGTACCATCTCTTTAAAGCAAAATAATTATTTGAGCTCTACTACTACATCATTGGACTATGGTTTGTCTGGCAAGATTTCAACTTTGGCTGGCAAGAATGTGGTTTCAATTAGAAAACATGCTAGTTTATCACCTAATAAAAATTCCGTTACTCCTGCTCTAAAACATGCTCACTCACCATTAAAGAACGCGCCTTCACCTACGAATAAACGTCCTGTTACTTCAAGTAACAACCATCCTGGTTCACAAAATAAAAGTATTGCTCCAATTAAAGGAACCAATTCACGATCACGGAGAGCAATGGTTTTAAGGGAAAGTTGTTCGACGCCAGGAAAGAGCACAGTGAAGAATGGAAGAGGTGACTTAACGAGTGATGATGAATACTCCCCTTCCAAAAAAGTTGTTACACCAAGTAAACCGGTTGGATTAGTAGATAACGTCGACGCTGACTTTAATATCATGTCGTTAATGCCACCAAATCTAATCCCTTGTTTGAATTTCGGAGAACTAGCTTTTCGGGAAGGTACCATAGATCGCAAGAAAACTATCAAACGCGGGCGAGTGTTTCCTGTAATTAAGTAATTTTTTTTTTCTTTGATAGAAGTTATTATATATATATAATATATATATACAATTTGTGGAAACGATCAAATATAGGGGAATAAAATCATAATTCATTCAATTTTATAGAATTATCACCTTCACATTCTTCTTTTTAGAGATTTAAAAAGTAGTTTATATATGGCATGTAAAATTTACAATTGTTCAATATGATACATATAGATCTCTTATGTATGTATATAGTATATGCTTTTATGGGATTTTTTCTTTTTTTTTTGTAGCTAAAATGATTAATCTTCACCAAAAAAAAAAAAATATATTCATATAAGAAATATAAATAATACACAACAAATTATAATATAATCCGATCAAAGTAATTTATTTCAGCTTACTTTTTTTTAAGTAAAAAGTATAAAAGGTATTTTGTAAATAACCATGAAACCCCAAGCTTAAAATTGAATTCTCTTACTGTTCCTAAATATTATCATTACTATAAATGATCAACACGAAAGGAGCCATTTATATACTTGAATTTAAAAATTGTGGGATTCAAATACAGTACGTAATACATATTATATATATACAGTATATCATTATTTGTAACAATTATTAAGGGTAAAGCCATCACAATTAAAAAAATGTATTATCATGAGAAGATAAGAAATCTATTCCTAATTAAATTAATATTCTAAGGACATCTAATAATTTGCTGATCGTAAATGTATTTTTTCTTTTGCTTATTTATTACAAAATTTGAACTCAAAAATCTCACTTATGTATTATAATTTGAAAGAAATATAAAAAATCAAAGAACGATTTAAAATATTCTATTATAGTTTTCTTTAAACCATATTCATCAGCATTAAATTTATAATAATTTCAAAATCAAACACAGATTATCATTATTTTTTGTTATGCTTAACCTTATCCACGTAACTCAAACATTTAGCGACACATTGACTATCGATCAACTGGAATTCGAGAATGTTAAGTAAATGAAATGCAAATTCATTTCTCAAATCCAATGATATAATTAGATCGCCGCGTGTCTTAGAAAACTGAATACAAACTTCTGGAAGATTGCGATCAGCTAGTCCCCTAAAATTGATTAAGAATATAAATGTCATGTATTCAACAAATGTTAAGATGGTTTCTTATGACAAATAAAGATCAATACTTTTGTGGTTCTATAAATCTATTCCAAATTTTCATCATTAATTTCTCTTTATCATTCACATCTGATATTTCGTCAAGTGTCTATAAGGATATAAAGATGAATATTAGATTTTTAAAAAAATATATATATATTAATAATAATTAATAGGGGTATATATAGCAAAGTTGTACCTCATCGTTGAGCTGCTCCACCCAATGAGTACAAATATCATCCTCAGAATCATTTACATTTTCATCACCAATGAATGGCATGAAGGTGTGAGAATGATAAAATGTTTGTGAAGGCAATGATGATAATGCCACCGGTGTCGTTGTGTATCGCTTTACAGGATACACAAATGGCTTTGGGTTCCAGGTACCTTCGCGCTTATCAATATCAAAAAAATCCAACTCTGACAAATCATCGTTTGAATTAACAACAATTACGCGATCGCTTGGTGGTTGTTTGCCATTCTACAAAAAAATTGTATACCTGATCTATAAATAGATGTTATCCAATTATCGCAAAAAAATTATTTTGAAATGAAATACCTTTATACCAAATTTCAAATGCATATGATTATTACGAAGGTGAATCATCAAACATGTATTATCCTTAAAAAGGTTAAGACACCATGGACAACGAAACCCTCTTACTGCTTGATGTAATTCGCAATCAGCGACACGATATATAAAAGTCACGGGTGGATCATCGTTCTGAGTAATAGGCACGGGCTTTGGCATCATGGGTTTTAAAGGGAGGTGTACTTTATACTCCCAATTAACTGAAAACCTCATTTTCCAATTTGACTCTATTATTGAACCCTTTTCACGTGCAAAGTTAAGACCAAGTTCATAATGATCTTCATTACAAAACTTTCCATCTTCTATCGCAATCATTTGAGTACATAGAATTCGACGACCATCGGAACAATCAACAAGATTTGGTATTAAATGAAAATTTTTCTTTTCACCATTAATCAGTTTCTTTAAAGAATCAGATCTAACAGGTGGCCATGATTGACTATTGATTGCATACAAACGGAAACCTATAACTACATCCTGAGAATTGTCACCACTTAAATTTGTTGAGAAAGGTTCAATAACCAAAGTTTCTTTCACAGAACAACCATTTTCATCCATCACTAAGGGAACAGTTGATCGATGAATCAATTGAAAGTCACACAAGTCAAATTTTCCATTGTTCAATTTACGTTTTTTCATAATATTGCTCGGTAATTTTTTCTATATTAAGATAAATATTTATCAATTGAGTAAATTTTTTTTTTTAAAAAAAAAAATAAAATAAAAATAAAAAATGAAATGAAATGAAATAACATGACATGCGCGGACCTTTGAAACTTCGAATAGATTGATTTCACATTCGATATGAAGACGTGATCTATTTCCTGGTGAATGGCTTGCTGATCTCAAAAATTCCGATAAATTAATTATAAATCTTAAGAAAATCAATAAATCATCATTTTAATGAAAATACATACCATATGCAACTAACCCATCAAACGTAAGTTGAAGGGTTCTCTGAACTCGACTAATTACAATAAATTATATCGTGAATAAAAAAAAATTTTTTATAAAGATAAATTCAAATGACGTTCATTAAATTGATAAAAACCTAGTGGAAACAATTTTTTCTTCCTGCTCACGACGCTTACACAAATCTTCAAGTGTAAAACGTCGTTCTCTTTGTTTAATATTAGATGTTCTTACCACTTTTCTACGAGTTTTTTGAATGTATGACAAATTTCTCCTAAGGAAACTTTTCTTTTATTCGAGAGGAAAATTACATAAGATTGTAATATATAAACTTAAGAATTTTAGAATTATTTTGAAATATAGCTTACAGTTCTATGATTAATGAGCCAATGGTATAAACACGAAGGTCCTGTGATTTAAAATAATGTTAACAATAATAAACTCTCTGTTTAGAATAAATTCAGGTAAACCTGGTAATCGCGTTAACATCTTACCCGTGAAAGTCTCTCGAAATAAACTAGAAACCCTATTTTGATCGACAATACTCTTAATGGCTCTATTTACCATGACTCGTAACACAAATTTTTCCCAATTGCCAATAAATCAAAATGTCGAATGAGAGTTTCTGCAAGAATGACAGCGTTTTACTTTCGAAATGGTTTGTTTATCTTTATATCACGTGTAGATTACAGAATGCAGAATTTATAGACGTCCAAGTAGTCCAATGTCCAATCAGGACATTGTCCAAATTTGGTAAGTTGTCAACCCACATAATTTACAAATTCGAACACGTCTCCAACTTGCTCGGAAACAGTTTCTTTGATTCCTTCAGCATTAGTTTTATATACAGCAGATCGAAACATATTTCATTCAAAAGCGGATGGTTGCTTGATCGATTGTAATTCTGGGTAAAAAGAACGCGTTTAATGTTCTTAATTATATTATTGTATCACTTCCGAATATAACGAATATAATGGTGGATAGAATGTGAATTCTATGTAATTTAATCAAATTCATAAAATTCATAAAGACATTTGTCTAAGAATCGCATTAACATTTGTGAAGCGTAAAAAAAATGTTAACCTTTAATAAGTTTTCCGTGATTTATATTTATGAAACGAAATTGTTTGTAAATTAAGGGAGCTTTCTCGGGGTTGAAATTCTTTGCACCCTAATACGCCCTATTACATATCAGCATTATATATGTGTAACACAACTAGGGTCATTCCCCCACACCCTACTCAGGTTATGTAATTTGGGGTAGCTCCCTAATTGATCTCAATTACGTATTGGAATTGATGTTTGAACAAAATCTTTATAGTTTTGTATTTAAAGTCAAAGATTATAGTGATTATATTGGTATAAAAGAACTTTCATGGTCATTTGAATACTGGAATTGTGAAAATTTGCCTCATTACCCACTGTTTATCCATGCTTTATACTCTTTAATGAATGAAAATTTCTTTACCGTCTGTGATCATGTACCAATACTTCCTAAATTTGATCCGAAAAGCATTCTGGTTAGACTTAAGGTTTTTTCGATCCAAATTTAGAAGCAATTTCAGAATTCTAGCGTTATATTAAAATCGGATTATGGGATTGTCAAATGAGAAAACCGACGCACCATTCATCACATGTTTTACCGTAGTAAGTGGCACTAAAAGTGTTCATAAAGCAACTAAATTTTATTAAATAAAAATAGACCACAATCAAACAAATATAAAATAAATAATAGATGTTTATAATTTGGATTTAAATTTTGATCTTTTTTCATTAGCCTTTTTGATTTCTTTTGCCCTTCTCAATTCTAATTTTCCGATTTGCTGTATGTGAACTTCGTCCGGACCATCTGCGAATCTTAATGTACGTCCTGCAGCATACATAGCAGCAAGTGGAAAATCCTCACTTACACCACCAGCACCGTGAGCTTGTATTGAACGATCAAGAACTTTTAACAACATAGAGGGTACTATTGCCTATCATTTACAACAATCAAAAATAATAACTTAAGTGCATATGCTAAATTCTACATCTTCACTTATATAAAGTAGGATAACTTACCTTTGCCATTCCAATTTCTTTCAAAGCGTGCTTTGCACCTACTTTATCAATCATATCCGCGGCGTTAATAACAAGAAATCTTGCCTGATCTATGATCATACGTGATTTTGCAATATCAGAAACGACAGTTCCATGTTCTGCCAAAAGCTTTCCAAAAGTACGACGAGAAGGATCTGTAACGCGTGCAAGCATCAAATTAAGACCTCGTTCCGCTGCCCCAATTGACCTCATACTAATAAATGATTGTTATGATTAAAGAGCAAATTTAAACAACATAAATATTGCAATATTAAAGATATACCAATGATGAATTCTTCCGGGACCCAAACGCCCTTGAATCACTTCAAACCCTCTTCCTTCACCCAAAATAATATTTTTAACTGGTACCCTAACATCTTTGAAGGTGATTTCACAATGCCCTTCGGGGGCATCATCATATCCGAAGATTGTTAATGGCCTAATAATATTAATTCCAGGTGTATTTCTTGGAACAATAACCAAACTTTGTTGTCTATGTTTGTTCTCATTTCCAGGATCGGATTTTCCCATAACAAGAAAAATGGCACATCTAGGATCACCAGCACCAGAAATCCACCATTTATGTCCATTAATAACAAATTCATTACCAACGCGTACAATTGAAGTTTCGATATTTGTCGCGTCAGATGACGCAACATTCTTTTCGGTCATTGCAAATGCCGATCGAATTTCTCCGTTTAATAATGGAGTGAGCCATTTTAACTTTTGTTCAGAAGTTCCATATTTTGCAAATACTTCCATATTCCCAGTATCTGGAGCCGAGCAATTTATTACCTAATTATCTTGCAATTAGTTTATTATACAATAGATATTTATCGCATTAACCTATGACGAGATAAAGGAAATAAATTATGGATTACCTCTGGAGCAATGCGAAGTGATTTACCCGTAATTTCGGCCATGAGAGCATACTCGAGATTGGTTAATCCGGCACCTTCATTATAATGTTTAGAAAGAAATAAATTCCAGAGTCCCAATGATCGAGCTTTCTTTTTTAGTTCTTCAATAATTGGTGGAACGATCTGTATAATCACATGATCACAATGTATTAATTCAAAGGAATTTATGAAAGTACACGTTTTTAAAGCGAATTATTAACATAAAATTATCTACTTTACAATTCTAGTTTCAAATGAATTCATAATTTTACCTTCCATCGATCTTCTCCTTTGCCAAGTTGTTCATGAAAAATTGTTTCTGCCGGAACACATTCATTCTACATAATTTTCGAATTAATTAAATAACTAATAAAATTTTAACGTTTCAACATAAGAATTACAGACCTCAACAAAATTATCCAATTTTTTAATTAATTCCTTGGCACGAGGAGAAATTTTCTCTTCAATTAATGCAGGTATAAGATAAACCATGTTGATTCATAAAAATTATCGCAGAAAGGTTAAGAAAATTATTTGTATCGGATTATACGCCAATCCTTACTATATTTGGCCAATAAGATCATTTTTTAATCAAAGATATTTACTTTTTTAATAAGATTACTTAAATCTAAAATTTTGTATTTTTAAAGTTTTCCTTTTATAGAATAAAATGCTTTTACAAATCTTTAAAAATTAAAATTTTACTTTTAATCAACCTTATATTATAAAAAATACTTATGTAACTGCTAATCTTTAGATTAAAAACCTTATTATTTTCACATCCTATAGTCAAATAATTCTTTATCATAAGATATATATTATACAAAATCTATATAAATAATATCAGGTTTAAATTATAAATTTATTATCTATCTTTAATATCTTGTTAAGCTCTTTCAACAAAATCGGTGATTATATATAGGTGTGATTATACAGATTTATGCTTTTTAAATTATCATAATTTTGGCCGGAATTATAAATTATATTAGTATATAATCACGTTATTTTGCAGATTATTTCCATTTTTAGCGATAGCCGTCTCACAAAAATATTTTTTTTTAAAAAATTGATAAATTCCTTTTTAGATGATTTGTGCAACCTTAAATTTTAAAAAATGGAATTTTATACGACGATCATAAGTTATGTGGTTTAATTATTAATAAAAATGATATGTAGGTTTAGGAAAAATAGACGATAGTGATTATAGTCAATTTGTGATTATATTGTTAAATGAAATAACTTTCGACCTAATGATTACATTTCAATGGATATACGACCATTAGAACCGTCTCATCGAGAGCTTTCCAACGAATATAAATACAAGATTATTGGACTGATAGAAGCGGAGATAATTCGAAAAGAAAGATTGCTATTATAATTCTGCAGATCACTACTAAAGAAAGCCGTAATTTCTTAAGCCGCAGCTCGACGATCAAAACGACCGAAACCTCGGAAACGATAATAACGTTGTTAACTAAGTTAACATAGTTGATTAAGTTTAATTAGTTTCTTATGTTTATT